ATTACCTCTCGCTTCTTCTCTGTCTAGTGCTTGTTCGCGCAGACGAGTCAGCCTCGCCAGTCCTATCATTGTCTAAATCCATCATTTCTGAAGACCTGTCAGATTCATCGTCCTTGTAAAAATCGAGTAAGTAAATATGATCGAAATCCACGAAACTCATATTCATTTACGCGACATATATTCACCTCTGCGGCATTTGCATTGTTTGACTGCTCCAACCAGTCGAACGGATCAGTTGATCCACGAAATTCTGCTCTCATTTCTTCTGTAAAACGACGCATCTGGCGGACACATGAAGAAAGAAAAAGCATTGTAAAGTTGTTCCGCAATTGGAAGGAAAACAATTAGCAATGGATGTAATTATGCCAGTGGCGATAGAGCACAAACCGCATCAGTAGTCAAAGTCTCATTCTCCAACGTCTCTATCGGAAGTCTCCCCAATCGTTCAGTGAGAATTCGCTCTGAACTACCCAAACAACTGTGACGTGTTTTACATTCATCCATTATTATTGCATCATGATTTTATACAACACAGACATGTCTCTCGTGATATCGTAAATCGCGCATCATAAACCCCCCCCTCCCCGGCTCCTCCTTTAAACACCTTTGAAACTTACTCGATAATGCTTTGGGAAGCTGCAGAGTTTACAGACTTTTTTATAGCTAATTCCATCGGTTCCCATGGTATAGTGGTCAAATTTTGGAGTCGGGAGGCCATATTGGGGAGGATTTGTGCCCAAGGCTCATCATTATCAGGAAGCGGTATTGAAGACGTTGCTTCTGAGGAGGTGGCGGAGGAGGACGAGGCCGTGATGACTATGTTGAGGATTTACGTTTTGGCAATGTTTGATCCCAAGATGAGGAAAGAATGAAGTCGGGACCTTCCGTTTTAGTAACATTGGATATAGTTATTATATTTTAATAAGACTAGCTTTGAATAACGCTCATCCGTACCTCTTTTGCGCTTCGTTATAGTTTTGAATAAATCAGAATGTTTAGGATTAGCCACCTGTGTCTCAAAACCACGACTCCAGTCTATCGCCTTGTCTTCCATCAGCTCCCCAAGCTCGACCTGAGCATCAACATTGTTGTAATGTACAACGATTTGTATGACTAATAAAGAATTAAATAGTCAACATTAAACGATTGAATTTACAATTAGCTTTATCAACGGTAGCGGTGGTTCGAGGTCTCCGTTGATTCTTCTCCATTCTTCATTTGCTTCTTGAATCATCGTCTCGACCTTTCAGCGGGCATATGTTGCAATTAGCAAACCGAAAAGCAAGTACACGTCAATTTATACTCACAAAGTTCGTATCCTATT